ATGGAACCTGTGGAAGTATCTATTGCAACCTTACTCTCCTGTAAGCTTCATTCCTGTGGTAAACTATCTAGAGATATTCATTTGGAAATCTGAATGATCTCTCAAACACCGTGTCTAGGGACAATTGCCAGTGAAAGTTTTACACTTAAACATTTCCTTCCTGGGGATGTGCCTTCTCAATAATTTTTACTATCTTTAAGCAAAGAATAATCACACTATTTTTATGAAAAGCAAAGATTCACTGGCAATCCAATCTGATGTGGTTCTATAACACATTTTTAGACCCTATCTACCATACTTTCCAGATGTAATTTCCTAACCTTTCAAAGTCTACCTCAGATTATAACATGAGATCCTCTATTATGGACACTTAACAAGCAGGGATTCATATTACAGAATCACTTACCCTTAATACTTCTATGCACTTTTGATGTCAAACATAAGTGAAGATACAACTCTTGCCAAACCTTAAGCTGACTATGCCCTAAATTGCTGATGTAGAAGGACCAATATTATGATCTCAATAATTACTTGTCATTTTACAGAAAATCAAAGTTATGACAACATTCCCTAAGGATGTACTAAGTGATACAAACTGTTGTATTAGCCATAGGGGTTGCATACGTACAACTAAGATGATGCCTCTTTTCTAGGAACTCAAAATAAATTCCAAAATATATGTAATATCAATGGTCAGAACATAACACCCTAATAGAAGGCAGCGATAATAATCACGTAAGGACCATCATGGAGACAAATGCAAAGTCCTATTAGAACACAGAGGAGAGAACTAATTCTTACTCAGGCATGGGGATCCAGGAAGGCTTTTGATGAGCTGAATCTTTAGAATTGGTTGGACTTTGACATGTTGACGAGGAGGTGCAGGGATGTGTGGTGTGGGGTAGTGGCGGGGGGCAGGGGGCAGAATGCATTTGAGAAAGGAAAATGCACTCCAATATAGTTTCCTCTTTCTTGACTGCCAACACATTTTTAACTTTGTAGAGAAGACGAGGAAAAAAAAGCTATCGAACCAATTGTTTTGGATGTTGTGATGTGATCACAGCATTGCTTATATGGATTGTCAAACAAGGGATGAGCTCATGAAAGGCTATTAATGTGTCGTTTTTATTGAGCAAAGTAGCATTACAGCAAAGGTGATTTCAAAGGCACATGGCTCTTTCATTACAGCCTTCAGGGGCAATGTTTGATCACGGAAAACAGGCTGCTTTGTTCCAGCTTTCTCTGATGTCTGGCATTATCCTGAATACATATGCTCTGACTTGGAAAGAATCTGTCTGTAAAGATTTAATAGATCTGAGATTTGCATATTCAAAATACACGTTTTGTGGTGAAAATGAAATGAACACCATTTTAATATGTATGTCTATATATACACAAATGTATTTCAGACACACATCTCAGCAATTTTTAAAAAAGCAATCAAATGTATTATGTGTTTATTCTGAGATTATGAAAGTCGACTATTTTTAAAATCCACCGTTTTATATTATCACTAAGGAAAAAAATGTATTTTAAGGGGCAGCATATTGGTGATACCAAAGTACAATAAGATTTCCAGTATCAGGAATTTGATATTTGCTGTATGTCCCTGTCACCTGTCATAGATACAACTTCCTAGTGCTGGACATCGCTGCATATTCTCCTATTAAAAGTGAGTTAAGAGCTTTCTTGGTTAGAGAAGATGGGGAGTCACAAAATATGAAAAAGCATTTGCAAGAGGTACTTTTCCTGGTATGACTGAAAGCAGCACTTCTTGCTTTTCTCCAAAGGAAAGAGATGCTTGGAAAGAGACCTTAAGAGTCAAATGCTTTTCTTGTGGTGACTATCACAGAATTTTCTCTACCTAGAATTCCCTGGCTTCTATTTTCTGTGAATTGATATGCAATCTCCCTCCATGTATCTTTTCATTTTGAATTCAATTGAACCTTGGAAAGAGAGATTGCATTCCCTAGTCAGCCAGTTTGATACATGTATACATTACATTTATAATTACACACTCATTGCAATGAAATTAATCCCAGCTGACTTAGCTGAAATGGCCTAGGTTAAATGTTCTATTTCATGTGACAAAGACAAATCTTACCACTTCACTTCTCTACCTAAGACCCTCCCCTTTCTGTTTCTACTTATACCGTCTTCCACCTCAATGACATCAAATGCTTCTGCACGGTGTGTTCTCCCCTCTTTGTGAGTTTTGTAACAGTTTCAAGTCAGAGACTATTTGGTTGTACATTTGTTGCTCCAAGCAAAGTTTAACAACATGGAAGAACTTACACATTGTCCTGGGTCTTGTTAATAATGCAGATTCTGATCCAGCCAGTCTGGAGTCTGGCTGAGATTCTAACAAGCTCCCAGGTGATGTAGAAGGCTGCACTTTGGAGAGAAAATGCCTAGAGTACAAGTGACCTTGCCTTCAACTGGCATTTGTCCCTGGACGCTGCTAATGGGAAACGTAGATTCTCTGACTTCGAGGTTGCCTCAGCCTCAGAATGGCTTTGTGTTTGTTGGTAATTTCACAAAAACTATATGACAGAGACTCTTCTACTCTATCCTCCTGTCTTACCATGTCTCCATTCTTACTTTGCCTTTTAGACATAACAAACCACTTGAAGTTTTCTGAATGTGTCAGACACTTTCTCATCCCAGGGCCTTTCAAACACTATTTCCTCTGCCCATCCCGGCATCTTCTGTCACTTCCTTCGAAACCCAGCTCAGCTGTCATCTGCTCTAGGAACCCTTCCCTAATTTCTTCCCCATGTCATTGCTTAGTTAAACACTTCCAATATACTTCCACCATGCCCTGTATTTTCCATAATCTTTCTCATAATCTTTCACAATTGTCCACTTCCTTATTTGTTCCTCCCATGACATTGCTTCTAGGAGAAAGAGATTATGCATCTTATTTCAGATATCTGCTGCCAGTCACCATAACTACAGCCAGTCACCAACATACTGGGCTTCTAATAAATTTTCCTTAATGAATAAAGAAGGTAGATTGATGTATTGTAATCATGCAAAAATATAATATAATATTTCTTCTCCTGCAGTTTAAAATTGAAGTGGGAGTAATAAAAACTAAACTCATAAAAAGTGAAGTACAGGGTGAGATAATACTAAAGATGTAAAATGTTAGTATGTGATTAATTGTCAAATGAAGATTGTAGCAAATAACCATTCTGACTTCATTAGAGGCAAATGTCACTGCGGATTTATTAGTATCTTTAATACCTCAATTTGTTCCACAAAGTGCTTGAGACTTATGATAACACTAGGCGTTGAAGTTCATGGAAGTATGCGCACATGCATAGCTAAGGGAATCTTACGAGAGAAGGACAGGTTGTGGAATTATATACTCACAGCAGGAGGAACAGATAGACTAGCTTGTCGGCAGAAATGCCCCTGGCTAGGCTAGGGACTAACAGTAATGTTGGTGTGCTGGGTTGCCATGCCCATTCTGCCTGGGATGCTGACTTCTACAGGGATATTGGAGCTCCCTTGTCCTCTGACTTCTGGTCAAATTTGGCTATTGGGGTACCTTGAGAGAAGTGTGCGGTCAAGACATTTATTTTCTTGAGTTGCTTATAACTGGTTGTGCCTCTATTTAAAAGGCTGCTATGTCAAACCTCTTCCAATTATTCTAATTGGAGCTGAAATGATCGCAGAATTGTACAGCAGTAGATTGGATGCGAGATTTAATAACTTTTATGACAACCATTAATGCCATAAATGTGTTTTAGGGGTTAGCTATCCATCAGGAAAGATTCTATGGGAAAATGGTTCAATAAAGAAAAGTTCAGAAAGCAAGCCAACCTAAAATTCTGTGCTCTCATACTTTATACGTAGTGTGGCAGAGAGAATATAAACTATCTTGGGGGTAAGAAAAATGTATTTAAAGCCTATCATTCTTCTGTAGTGCTTATTTACATCAGCCTTTAGTTTACTGCTCAACTGTCGAGTGATTAGATGCTGTAGTTTGAGGCTGTTTCTTTTCCACGGGGCTAGATGATTCAGAACTTTTTCCTCTGTTCTATCCTATGGCTCATCCTCTGGTTATTTCATTGCTCTCTTTCCTTTTATCAGGGGACACGGACACAAAAGGAAAATAAATGAGTAAAAACCTTCGCTTTCACATCTATGATAAAAGGTTTGTCAGGGAGGAGACTGAAATCCTGAATTAAAATGAAGCTTTCCAGTTTTATCTGGGTTGGTCTGACCCTATTGCTATAAAGATACTGAGAGTTGTTTCTGCCTTGTCAAAACCCAAGATATAAAAATGGGCCAAGAGTCTGATATTCATAACAATGAAGAGAACCAGATCTAATAAATAACTATGATGCTGTTAATATAAAGTCCTGTGGAGCAGACCCCTCTGCTTTCATCTTGGATTATATTACAACCTGGTTTGCAGTACTTTCTGAGACCACCGTTGAGTCACATGAGCCTAATTCTGTGACCCAGGAAAAACAGATCATAAATCCCAAAAGTGGGAGACATGTTTGTCGTCTGACCTTGGAAAGATGAGCTAAAGGTACTGAGGAAGCCATAAATTCAATTTACAATAATAAAGAAAAAAGGGTTGTTTATACTTGTACCAGTGGATGAAGTGAAAATCTAATGTTTTTCCAGGTACGGGATGTACATTTTGTCAACCTTCATTAAAATCCTTTTTAGCAGGCAGCTAAGAGAACTGAGTAAAAACATTTTAATGAGGCTTTTTTCTCCCCCAATTTTTATTTTTTTAAACTTTATTTTTAAATGTTTTATGTTTCTGTTCTATGTATGTATTGTTTCATGGTTTCATCTGGGCTTTGGTACCCATCATCTGAATAGTACCTTGTCGAATGTACCTCACAGGTAATTTTTCATCCCTCACCCCTCTCCCATTCTCCTTATACACAAAAGGCTTTGACCCTGCTTTGCTCTCCACTGTAAATTCTTTTTTAAAAGCCGTTTTTACTGTTTTTTTTTTTTCTTTTCAGGCTCTATTTATGAAATGTTTGGAAATGAATGCTGTTTGTCCACGGGAGAAGTGATTAAAATTACTGGACTCAAAATCAAGAAGATCATAGCCGAAATTTGTGAGCATGTGGAAAGTTGTGAGTCTCCACAACCGTTTGAACTGCCTATGAATTTTCCAGGTACAGTATTTTACAAACACTTCTCATTTGTACAATTAGATTGGTGATAATTGCACACATTTACACAACTAAAAATAATGAAAAAGTCAGCTAGGATAAGTAAGTAAAAAGAACTCAGAATTCTTGTAGTGTAATCTTTTAAAGGACTAATAGAAGGCAAATATTGTCTTCCTTTGTAAATAAACATCTTTTATGCAAGAATTAATCTATTTGGCTAAAATTAGTTAAGGTGGTTCAACTTTGTGCTCCATTTAGTTGTGCTAAATAGTGAGAGTCAAGAAATCAAAGATATATTTCCATATTTCTATACTTCTGTAGAACTGACTAGTTACCCTGTAATATCCCCCCTCCTTGCCATTCCTATTGACATTTCTAGCTCCTTTGAAAACTGCTGAACTTCTCTGTCAGATCTTACTGACAAGTCTGATTGGTCATCTTTGTCTAATTACATCTATTTAGGCTTCCCAAATTAGCTCAGATATCATGGTGTCTGGACCACTTTTGCAGGCCCTTTAACCTAACCTAGATATCTCTCTTCTATGTTCCCAGAGTATCTTGGGTGTGATAACATACCCCTCACTGGGGAGTCATTGATGATTTTCTTATTGTTTTATTCTCCAGACTAAGGATGAGTAAACTTTTTCAATAAAGGCCACATAAGTATTCTAGGCTTTTTAGCGAGGTGGTCTCTGTTAGAACAATTCCATTCTATTGTAGAATGGACAACAATACTTGCTTGTAGTATGAAAGCACCTATCAATAATGTGTAAATTAATGAGCATGCCTATGGCTCAATAAAACTTTATTTATAAAACAGGTGGCCAACAGCATTTGGCCTGTCAATTGTAGTTCGCTGACTTTTACTATTGCCTAAAACTTCTTTGCAGATGAAATATGAATATATGACCTTGTATTTCTGGTGTCAAACACATTTTCTGGCATAGAGTATATGCTCAATTGCTATTTATTGAACAAACAAATGAGTGGTAGAAGAACAAATCCCATAAGTATTGACAATATAATGTAAGTCATAGTAGGATCGTACTATACATGAGTTTCGTGGGAGGCCTGATAAGGAACACACATTATAGCTGGCTGTGTTTCAGAACATGGTTTCTGGAGTGATCATATTTGTATCCCAACTCTGTTGCTTCTCGGCTTTATAAACTTGGCAAATTATTTACCCTCCTCTTACATATAATGGAAATAATAATACTATATATCTGTGTAGTAGTAATAATAATACTACTATCTGCGTTAAATTAGACAGACTAAACATTGAAATATATTTGAAATTCTTAGAAGGTACTTGTCATATAGGAAGGGCTATAAAACGGTGTCAGTTTTATTACCATTTTAAAGATATTATTACTATCATTAAAGGAGGCAGGAAAAGCTTTTCAGGGAATGTTTTAATTGTGCTGAGGTTTGGAGAATGAAAATAAATTAGCTGAGATGAAGATTCATCCAAGTAGTATAGTATCCTATCCATTTTCAATTGAACACTTACCCTTTCTTCAATTCTGTTCTTTCCTCATGCCTATTCATTACAACTATGGTACTCAAATTTGACTAAATATTGGAATCATTTAGGGAGCTCTAAAATATTCTGATGCTCAGGCCACTTAACTGAGATATTCTGATTTGTTTGGTCTGTGGGGAAGTCTGGTCATCATAGTTTCTTAAAACTCCCAGGGCATTTGTAATGAGCAGCCAAGATTGAGAACCATTGCTTTATAAGTCTTTCTCAAGTAGTCTAATTAGATCTAACAACTCCCTTCTAAAATCACTATATTTTTTCATGCCATAATTATTGCATTTATTACATTCTGCATGTAATTGAGGCCATTCGCACAGTTGTCTGACTAGTACCATCTGCCTAATAGATCACAGGTTGTGGAGGGCAGAATCTGAATCTCATTTATGACTATAATCCCCCCAGTGTTTGCAATAAGATGCACATAATAAATATTTAGTAAGTTAAAATGACTAGAACCTGTTGGTAGGAATGTTTCTAAATAGAGTAATGGAAACGGTTTTTGGCTAACAGTTTCACTTTGGGAGTTGTTATTTAGAAAATCTCTTTGAGCTTTCAAATGGCTTGATAATCTTGTATCAATTGGGCAGTAATTTGAAAAATACAGTTACAAAGCTAGTTTTCTTTTTTTTTCTTTGTACGAAAGGTTTTTATTGGGTGGGGCAGGGGTGGTGGTGGGGGGATGCTGCAGAGCAGCACCAAGGAGGAGAGAAAAGAGGAGAGGAAAGAGAGGAGGGGGAGGAGAGAGAGACAAAGCTAATTTTATTGTAAATGGCAGGGTTAAAATAGAAGAGTAAAGGACTGGTGATGGTCAGGGTATGCTTCCTTTCAAAGAAGACTCCTAGGTGTTGATGAAAGGGATCCCAGACACAGGCATAACCCTGTTACATCAGCATTAGGGAGAAGGATAAAAATAAAGGACACTAATATTATTTAAAAATCTCTATAGCATAAACATCTCTTTATACCACATTTAAAACTTTCAATTTCAATTCTCAATTAGATTTTAAACTGAAAAAGTTCAATATTGTTTTAAAACTTCTTTCCTTAATTGTGAGTTCCCCAAATTTCCTTTTTCTATGGATTTCTAATTGCATTCTATTGCAGTAAGAGGACATGGTCTGTGTGATTCAGTCCTTTTAAATGTATTGATCCTTGCCTTATTAAATATAACCTATGCTGGAGTTAAGTTCAAGTTCAAGTTGCCTATGAACTTGAGAAGAATGCATGTTTTACTCTTGTTGGATGGAGTGTTCTCCAGCTGTCTGTTGGTTTATGGTATTGTTCAAGTCTTCTGTTTCCTGGAGGATCTTCTGCCTACTTGTATTATTGAAAGTGGAGTATTGAAATTTCCAGCTTTTATAGTTGAATTACATTTTTCCCTTGAATTCTGTCCATTTTTCCTTCATGTATGTGAGAGCTCTAATGGTTGTTGTGTATGTATTTATAATTGTTGTCTCTTCTTGTTGGAGTGATCCTTTCATTATTATATAATATTCTGTTTTGTCTCTAGTAACATTTTTCTATTAAAGTCTATTTTGTCTTATATAAGTATTCACTCCAATTTTCTTTTTCTTTTT